GATACAACATCAACAATGATTCAACAAGCCTTTCAAACAATTCTCAACACATCACACAAACAATTGATCACATTGCCTTTTATTATCCCTTTTTCATCATTAGAATTAATCAATGTGGACAAGTCAACCCATCACCAAGCCTCATTACCCTAAACACATATTACAAGAAAATACATGAATTTCATACACTTAACAAGAGTTTAGAAATTCACTTGCCTCAAATAGTCGAACAATCACTCCGGGACTTCAGTCTTTCCCTTTCATTGGACTTCCAAATCAATACAATCTATTCAAATAAATGACCACAATAAGATTTTGAAACTAACAACATTCATATTACTCTATGTCCAACTAGACCCAAGAACTCATATTTTCAAATTTCAAGTCTAAGATTATGCCTCAATTTCGTTAAATAACATAAATCTAATGATATTCATATAATATAGTATCCCTAAAATTTAAGTACATCACACCAATACGCTGGAACATGGATCATAATGTGATCACCATGAAGAACTTTGCAACTCCAAAATCCATAGAAATCAGTAACCTCTAATATCAAATTAATATTTTAATCCATATTACTTCCATTCAACTATCACTGCCAATGCTAATCAAGCATATTCTACTCTCATTGCCAATCATTGCCTTATCATTGGCAATGATTATGTCCCTCAATTATTATTTTTTTATTATTCGGTTCACTAAAGCACGGACAATTCACTCAATTTGCAACAATTCACCTGTTAATTCTTCAATCTAATAATATTATATCCAATATGCAACAATAATATAAGTAGACACCATTTGAAACTCACTTGAATATTACCTACAGTTTCGTCGCCCTTTTCCGGTACCGCAACAATAGTTTTGTTCGACAACGGTTTCTCCCCTGCTGCACTTTGATCGGTCGCCGATGAAGTCCTCTTCGAGAGGCTAACTGTTTTTCTTTTAATTGAGTAGGGCAAATAATTATGACCCACTGAATAATTAAATAAATATTAAATCTCACTAGCTTATATTAATATATATATGAACTTGGCCCATTAACCACCAACTAAATAAATTATTTATTTAATAAATACCCTCCAACTAAATAACTGTAGTTACACCAATAGTTCAAGATTTTCAAATCAACTTCACTGACTAATAAAATTAAATTAAAAAAAAGACTCGGGGCAACTATCGGGATGCGTAAAACGGTAATTTTGTAAAAATTTCTAAAAATGACTTTCCTGGTCATTACATAATTTTTAAAAATAAATTAATAAAATGACAGAATCGTACTGAATTATTTTTAAAAATATACAGTTTAATTAAAATATAATCAACATTTGAATAAATTGTGAATGGTAAATTCCATGCATTTGTGTATGTGTATAAATAATCATATAATGTATTATTTCTACAGAAGTTAAATTTGAAAGAAGTGAATGAAGTTAAAAATAAAATAAAAATGAGAGACACACTACAAGAAACAGGACTTTTTGTGACAACATTCTGTGGCGACACATATAATTGTCACAAATGTGAGGCCTTTTGTGGCGATATAATAAGTTGCCGCAAAAACTGGAAGTTTTAGATGCGACATCAAATGTCGCCACAAAATGTATTATATTTAGGGGCGACTTAACTCATGTTGTCACAAATAATTATGATTTTTTTCAAGAAAATATAGTTGTAAGAGTATTTGTGGCGACATATAGATAGTCGTTGCAAAAAGGGTTATTGCCGCGACCTCCTCGCCGCTAAATATGGAGCTTATGTAGCAACTTTTTATGTCGCTACTAAATTTGGAGTTTTTGTAGCAACATTTTATGTCGTCACTAAAAGTGGATTTTTTGTAGTAACCTTTTATCGTTCCTTTTATTTTATGGTTATATAATAAGACTTTGTATGTCAATTTAATTTTAATTAATAGTTATAAAGATAGTAATGTATGTTTTACTCATTTCTCTTTGCTTAATAAGTATTTAGACTAATTTCATACATTTTATCATTTATTTTATATATAACATTTAGGTATTAAATAATATTGTTAAAAAAAGTAATATGAGTAATTTCATATTTCTAATAAATTTATTTTAAGTAAGTACTCGGTAATAAAAAATTTGCCCATTATAAAAATAACTAGTGCAGGACATATGTATTAGTATTACTTTTATTGAAATGTAAATAAACTAATTTATGATAATAAAGATATTAAATAAGTAGTGAGTAATTCTTGTTTACTATTTTCGTTTTTATTTAGAAGAACCAAATAATTATTATAAATATTCTTGTTATATGATTCAGTTTGAGATACTTTTTATGTATTTAAAATCAAATACTTACACTTTATATAATATGAAAATTCTACACTTACACCTCCTATAAGATGTATCGGGATAAGTATATTGTAATAAAATTATCAAGGATGACACACACAAATTGAGAAATGATTCAATTTTTTGTTTAAAAAAAAAAGAAATAAATTATTAAAAAGATAATTTGAATTGTCAATAAATATTTTATTTATGTAATTTAAATATAAATGTTGAAATGGACGATTAAATAAGAAAACTAATTAAAAATGAGAAATTTCTATATAATAAAATATTATAATTAATCAAAATGCAAAAAAAACTTGCATATTTAAACGCACCTAATTTGTTTTTCGAGCATCGGCATACTTTAAATTTTATTTATCAATATATATATAAATAATTAAACCTTTTACTAATCTATTTGCAGTTATAAATTCAAAAAAATTCAGCTTCAGTTCTTCACCTAAAAAACCCTGACCCGGCCCAAATAACCCAAACTTAAGACCCCTATCCCTTTCCCATTTTCATTCGATCAGTTCACAACCACAAATCGCCGCCTCCAGAACATCGGGAAAAGACCGGCGAGACCTTTCTCATCACCCTAGTTGTCTCCTCCACCCTCTCATGCCACTTGGAAGCTTCTAACATTTACAAATGTTGAATAGGCATGAGCTCTGAAAAATACGTCCCTCTTGCAGATGTCTATTCGACATTTACAATTCGACGCTCGATCTCTACTCCTCGAAAGCTCACTCACAATCTATGGCTCACTTAGGGCTAGAAAGATAGGATTCCTTGGATTTCTCGACGTATAAAAGATTTGTCCCCAAGGTCCATGGATGAATTCCACCCTCAACAGCCTCCCAATGGCTCCAAAGAGCTCTGGAAAAGTGAGTTTTTGCCCTTGTTTTTTCATTATCTCCTCTCAAAATCACTCGGAAGATTGCCCACCTCTTTTGGTTTTCAGAATTTGAAACTCTTTAGCTTCATTGAGGATGTAAGGTTTGGATTTTCGGCTGTAAATAGAGCCTAAATTGGCTCTGTTGAACAACCTTTTCAATGGTAAAGACTCGACGAGGATCCACTGATTTGCTGTCCCGAAGAAGGCCACTAACCTCTCTTTTACTTATTTTCCATTCTAGGTCTGTAAATGAATGTGTGAATGAATATATATTCTTGCCGCTCAACTAATTTTCTGTTTTACGCTTATAATATATTCATTTTTATTTGATAAAATCAGCATGTGAAATGGCTAATATGTATTGAAAACCGTAAGAAAAATTAAATTACTGATCGGTTAATTTAGTGAATATGTGATTGACATTGTTGCTCGTCTAGTTTATGTGTTTGAATCACTAGGATGTGCTTACTTCATTCTTGTTTTTGAAATCTGTATGAGATTTTTAAAATGAAATTGAACACTTAGGAGGAAGTCACTGATTCATATAAGAATTTAAAGTAGTCGAAAATCTTGACAAACAATTTCTTAACTTGTGTTCTTGTCCCTTGAATTACAGGTGGTGGCGAAATGATAGCTGATGTGTATTCGGATCATTCCACTTATACTGAACCTCCTTCGTGGTTTGTTTCTTTTTCCTGTGCTTTTATTAGTTTCATGATATTTCACTTTGTTAGGTTAAGGATTGTGTTGGATTTGCATATTTGGTTGATTTTCTGCTGAACTCCTTTACTGGTTCTTCATTGAAATTTGTATTTGTTTGAGGTTTTGGAACTTTGAATTTGCAAAGTCAGATTTTGAGGTTTTTTGCAAGAAGTGTTTGCTTGAGTTGAAATCTTGAAGGAAGAAAGATTTTAAAAAACTGATTTAGGATTGAAATGCAATTGACATTATGTTGTTGTTGATTCAACTATAAGCCAAAGTAAGAAGGAGCAATTTTGGCCCATTGCAAAAGCTCTTTTAAGTACAATATTTTTCTCCTCAATTACTAAGTTGTATCAAATTCTTTCAAGCCTGATGTAATAGTTATCGTTATAGTATGGTAGTGTTTTCTCCTTTAATTCTGTTAGCCTGATGTAACAGTTTCTTTATTATGGTCTCAGATTGATGAGAATGTACAGAGAGAAATTATAAATCATAGATCGACGAGACATCCGAACATTGTCAGGTTTAAAGAGGTAAATACTTCCTTTATATCTATTTGTTATGAACCTAAGAATTGCCTATATCCTACTGATGTTTACTGTATATATTATTTTCTATAATCACATTGTAAGCAACATTATTACCCTTTCTGAAACAAAAGGCTCGGTAGAGCTTAGCTTGCTAGTTTAGAGATCATAGCGATCATTGTGCTTTTATAGAACCTGGATAGATATGTTTGTCATATTGAGATGACTCCCAAGATTAAGTGGAAATAGAGATAAATTGCATTAGTTCTCTTTTCTTAGCAAAGTGTAGATTGAGTATTTAGCCGACCCTAACTTGTTTGGGACCGAGTCTGGCGTAGTTGTTGTTGGGAATATAAATATGCTTGAATAGTTCTGTTAAATAAGCAGAGTGTATAAGAGTAATTCCTTGCAGTTTTAAACTGAAATCTTAAAAAAAGCAATATTATTTGTCCTTTTTTAGTCTATGTATAGTTACTCCTATTACATAAGTCAATCAAGGACCTAGTTTCAATTATTAAGTGTCACTCCATTTTTATGAGTATGTGTATAAGATTTGCTGTCGCAATATTATCATCTGATATGATTCTTAAAGAATAAAAGTTGATCCATTGTTGTTAGTTGTTACTTTAAAAATACAAAGGTGTTTTGTACTATGTGTGGGTTTTGTTTCTCAAGTCGTGCTTTTATCCGTAGGAAATTTGTCACAGGGACTTGAAACTGGAAAACATTACTCACGGATAGAAAATCTAAAATAACAAATTATTTTATTTCTTTTCTTGTTCGGTTACTAGCTTGTTCTATTTAGTTTTATGAAGGCATTGGAAAATAACTGATAAATAGAATGGATTTGGTGAACTCGGTGTTGAATTTTGTCGTACTCATGAACACTCCTGCCTCTAGGAATCTGTAATAAGTTGGATAAGGGAAGGTTTTTTATTTATTATTATAGCACAATGATGTTACCTAAATTTGACTCATAGTTCAAGGATGTTTCTTAACCCAAAACTCCAAATTATTTTGTACAACTTTACTTGTTCATTTGCAATATTTTAGTGCAATATTATTTTGGTCACCCTTGTGATAATAATAGAACTAATCTTGTATTTTTTCCTAATAGGGGCAAGGTTCTTACATAATCTCAAAAGGCGTCGACGAAGGAGGAGCTTGAAGGCACTTAATATTCTTTTTCGTATGTGTATGCATAAATGACATCGAACAATGAAATATTTTGTTGATATTTTTAGTAATAGAAGTACTTATTATATCCAATTTGAGAACTATTTTTGGTGTTTCTTGAATTACAATGGATAATATTGATATATGAATTGATAATTGATATAAATTTAGGAATATATATTGATTTTAGAGGAAATCTATTAGAATTGGGTATTGCAATAAAAAACATAGATTTAGGGGTGACAAAATTTGTCACAAATAAAATCAGTATTTGTAGCGATCGTCAAGTTGCCACCAAATCTTAAAGATTTAGTAGCGATATGAGTTGCCATTGAAAGTATTACACATCTGTGGCGAAAATTGTCGCTACAAAAGTCCTTTCTTTAGTGGCGAGGAGTGTTGCAACTGATAGCATAGAACTTCTTGGAGCGAGTAGACTTGCCACTAAAAGTCCTACTTCAGTGGCGACTTACTTAACATATATTTTGTCGAAGCTTTTTTTGTGGCATACTTGGCTACATTGTAGCGGCGACTTTTGTCGCTACAAAAGGTTGTTTTAGTGGCGACGTCAAGAAGTCGTCACAAGAAACATTTAGTTATGGAAGTACTTGCCACGGCTGTAAAGTCGCCACTAAAAGAAATTTGTGGCGATTTTCAGGGCATCAGTAGCGACTTTGGTCGCCACAAAAGAGCTGATTTCTTGTAGTGACAAGAGAGAGTTGATCGGATGGTAAGCACTCCTCACTTCCCTTAAGGTTGTGAGTTCGAGTCCCCAGGAAATCATAATTTGGGAGCTCCTGGGGAGGGGTTAAAGAAAATTGAGATGGGAGGATAATTGGAAAAATTAACCTTTTTTATAATAATAAATCTATCCCTAATTAATGCATTTAAAAACAAAATAATTTTTTGTATATAAAATATAGTCATTAGTGACGAAATTAGATTTTGTTCGACTACGAAATACATATAATTTTAGAGACAATTGATGTCGTCACTGATTGAAGTAAAATAATTAGTGACGATATAATTTTGTCGGTAGTAATAACTTTTTTAGTGACAAAAGCATACTATTAACTACAAAAAAAATATACTTTTTACGAACAAATAAATTTGTCACAAATGTTTAAGCATTTGGGGACGATTTTTCATTTTGTAGTTAATATAGTACTTTTAGTGACGAAGCACTAAATCCATTTTGTATACTTTTAGCGACACACATTTAGTGACGACTGATTGACGAATTATTTTTCATCTCACAAGATTTTTAGTGACGAAATATGATTTATAAATGACGAAATTATTCGTCCCTGATAATCGAATGTGTTGTAGTGAATAATAGAGTGTATAACTATTTTGTCTATATTCAATTTTTTCTTATAATTTCTCATATAATGTCTCACCGACAAATTTATCTTCCTTTCTCTCTTTGAATAGTAACAAATATAATGTGAAATACAGCCTTATTGACAATATAACAAATGAGTTTCAGAAGATTTAGACAAAAATATATCTTGCTTTCTTTCTTTGACAAAGTTTAAATAGGCTCGTGAGCTGCTCGTTCATGTTCTTGAGAAAGATAACATCAAGAGATTTGATCGTTGAAAAAATGAATTTGGTTGATCTTTTTCGAAAAAAAGTTTAATATTTACCTATAAAGCAATTGGGATGATTTTTAATTTGATTTGTTGGTATTTGTTGTCTTTTACTAGTATTTTGAAAAAACTTGAGAATTTGGTGCTTATTTCGACTCTTCTTAATTGTTGTTCTAACATCTTAATCTTCAATAAATATGATTATTTTGCTTGCGTGTGAATCTTTAATTAGTCTTTCTTCTTACCTTGATGTTTATTGATTGTTATTCAAAAAATGAGTATTAGAAGATATCTATTTCTTTTGTTCTCCTTGAGCTTCTCGTTTTTTTGTTTGCACATGTAATCAATCATTTATATTATTTCTCTCATCATTTAAATAGAACCCTAGCATTTTAATTATTTTTAAAAATGCTTTAAAAATATATATCATATAACACATTACATTTATCAAGAATATATCTCTAAATCTATTACATTTTCTTGAAGAGAAAAGACATAAAGTGACACCTGAAGTTGTCTCGAATTTTCAAAAACACTTTAATTATGCGAGTGTCCTATTACCCCACAAAACTTTTAAATACCTTTATAAATAGACTATTCTGGTCCTTTTTCTCCTTATGTTTGTTTTCACGCAAATGAAGCGCGTGAATGGAAACTTTTACTTCCAAAAACGAATTAAAAAACGTCAAGTGTCAAATCTTTCTTTATTATTTACCTTGTTTGTGTATAGCCAGCCCTCTGCCCTGTTTTCAACTCTTGTTGAAGAGAGAAGTTTGTTTTTTATCTTGATTATTTTGTGAAGTTCAGAAAAAATTGAATTTCCTTCTTTATTTTGCTGAATATGGAAGACGATGGGACAGATTTGAAAGGGGCAAAATAGGGAGATGGGAGAGAGAAATAACTTTTAGGAAAAGAAACGTTAGTTTTTTAATTGAAATAGACAAAATAAAAAAAAATTGTTATATTTTAAATACTAAAATGATGTTTCTTGTTAACTATTATAGTACAAGGATGTAACTTAAGTCTTAGTCATAGTTAAGGGATGAATTTAGCCCAAAACTCTACATATGCGATACATGTCCCTTATGTATGACATGAGTCATGCAACGTGATATGTGTCATGCCAATTAATCATGCTTATGCATATCATAATTTTTAAATCACTTTATTAGATATAGACATGTCCAAATTATAAGATAGACAATTATATTCTATTTTTCATCAAAATGGAAAGTTACTTAATTGCCTTAAAATTACTCTATAAATTTTAATTAATGGTTTTTTAATTGGTACTTTAATTTATTAAACTCAATTTAATTATGGACGGAAAGTTGATATCGAGGGTATTTCTGAATCAAAAGGTGGATGCCAGGGATATTTGGGGGCCAAAAGGTGGATGAACGATAGTTTTGTACCAATTCGAATAGTTGAGGAGCATTTTAGACCCTTTTTCTATGCTTCTTTATTTTAAAAATTAATATTGAATAATTTTCAATATTTCATATGCAGTAGTAACTGTTTCTATTACTACTAGAGTGACACTGCACTCAAGATGTTTGATGATATGTTTGACCCAAATGAAAAATAATTCTCGTCTCTTTTCACATTTGTTCCCTAACATTGAGCCTTCATTATATTGACATTTTAATAGAAATTAATTAGTGGCAGTCTTAAGTACTTTATAAAATTATTGTAATTCCTCATTGCTTTATTCTTATATTTTTGAATTGTTGTGCTTCTAACTGATTGAAAATCGAATTCTCTTCTTTATACTCATTGAGTTAAGAGTTTGGTGGTAATATAATAAAAGTATGATTTTTTTTATTTACTTCTACTTTTTTTCATTTGACGTGGTTGTATGACTTATTTGGATGGAATATAATGCTCTACGGGACATCATATGGATTGAAACAGAGTCCAAAGTAGTTTGAGAGGTAAGTTCTACACTTTTTTATTCTGTATTCTTAGTTATAATGCAAAATAATTATACTACATATTTATAAATCTGTTTCCTTTTTTAAAAACAATTAAATGTTAAGATTGCACAATCGTTCTTTATTGAGTTATAATATAATAATCGCACAATTTGAATTCACAAAATTTTACAAGTCCAATATACTTGAGGTGGAGAATGATATACAATACTTTAAGTATAAGCGGTAAGTTCCGTATAAATTAGAAGTTTGAATCAATATGATGGTGAAAAATAGTATATAACCAACCTAGCCTTCTATATAACCTATTCACAATAGTAGTTGAATACTTGAGGGAAGTGCACGTGTGTGAGACCATCTTGCTTCCCCTAACACATACTCAGACTATGTTTAATTTTCATTTATTTTTGGTGATTATTTCTCTTCAACTCTTATCTTACTAAGCTATTTCCCCCGCTATCATATATGTATCTGAAAAGGTGTACACACTGTTGGTGAAGGCAAACAAGTGGTGGGAAATTGATAGACACAAATGTTACGATAGATCAACGAACATAATCAAAAGTATTGACATTTCTTGTTTTTCTTGCATGGTCAAACCCAAAAGTGCTTAAAAGGTTCAGAAAACTAATTTCATTTATGTGAGTGCCCAACGATTTGCTAACTGAATGAGGTAACTACTGTTGACTACTATTGGAAGTACGGATAAATTTCTTGTCTAAATATTTACAAAGCTTATCTTTTCTTGAGATCTTCCCCAATTCATTTTTAGGGTCTGTTTGGAAAGACATTTGGTAATTGAAATTGGTGTAATTACTAGGGTAGTAATTATCAACCTAGTAATTACACTGTCTGGTAATTACACTGACCTGTTTAGTTGCCACAGTGTAATTACACTGTAATTACACATATTCTGTTTGGATGCACAATTGCAATCATAAAATTATAATAAATTTTAAAAATAAATTTAATTATTTAAAATTTATACTAGACAAATAAGAAACTTTATAAATGACATTAAATTAAATATTTAAGATATATATTCTTTTTTGAAAATATATTAATTAATAAACATATTTTCTGTAGCTAATATTATGAAAAAATAATTGATTTATATTTTTTCAAATTAATATATTCCAATTGAATTGATCGTAACAACTAAAAGTATGAAGTTTCTACGAACATCGTAAAATGCATGTTTGATAAAAATAATAATAAATAAATAAAATGTCATAAATTATTAAATGTTTGACAAAAATATAATCTATCAACTCTAATCAAAATATGACGTGCAATGAAGGTTCAATATTACTAAAACAAATGAAACTGAAAATATAACATAAGTTATAAATTCAAAACAAAATTTTAACATAATACTCTTATAACAAATTTCAACATAGCAATAAATATGATTTATTTTTAGTTTTTCTTAATAAAGAAAACGTAAGTCTATTATAACCTTACTTAACAATAAATTCTATTTTAATTTAAAAATTAGAATATAATAAAACTATGCTAATGAGAAATAAGCATGGCATAAAGAAATAGATAATACGAAAAAATTACA